CTCTCTTTATCAGTACACATCAACACAGCTCTGTAGCTATTAGCCTAAAATTACTTGGGGCACTTAGAGGTAAGGCAACTTAGCCAAGGTCACACAGTCAATTTGAGTGTGAGGTAAGATTTGAAATCTTCCTGACTCCAAGGTGAGCTCCCTGTCCCCTACGCTATGCTGAACTCCTTTAATTTACCTTTTTATATTTTATTCTGAACTTAAGAAATAAAACAAGCATTTCTATAACATAGTAGATTAGAAAAAAAGATGATTGTACATGAAACTGCAAATCTATTACGCACAACTCACTGTTGCTTTTAAATATGTAATAAAAATCATGAAACTTTCTTTTTTTTCCTTTTTTTCTTCCCTCCCCGCTTCCACCCTAGAAATGTCTACCATTAGATGCAAATATGTATATGTGTGTAATATAAATATATGTATATATAGATATATACGTATAACCATTCCATACATACTTCTATTTACCAGTTCTTTCTCTGGGTGCAGATAGTGTATTCCCTCATATGTCCTTTGTAACTAATTTGGATATTTATTATAATCAAAATTACTTAGTCACTCAAAGTTGTTCTTAAAACAATATTGTTGTTACTATATACAAATAAATATTTCTGTTACCCCAGAGAGCCCTAGAATCTTGGAGTTGAGGTGGGGGAAGACCTTAGAGGTCATGATTCTGAGCTCCCGAAGCTTCTTTTCAACATCCCTGACAACTTGGCCAGAACCAATCACCTAACATCTTTGAATCTCAGTTCCCTAAAATGTAAAATGGAGAAAATAATAGCATTTAACACATAGAATTGTTGTAAGAGTGTGTGTGTGTGTGTGTGTGTATATCACTTTACAAACCTTAAAATACTTTATACATTAGTAATTATTCTAAATTTCAGACTGATTCTAAATATTTTTATTTGATAGATCATTTTTAAGTTAGTTTTTAGCCCTATTTACCTTTCCCTAAAGAGGAAGTTGAAATTCCTTTCCAACATTACCCTTCTGGTTGTATATAGAAAAAGCAAGTATCATTCAAGAATTTTCCTCTTTCACATGGCTTTTGTGGGGCTTAAACATTTGGGGGACTGATTTTTTCCCTTTTCAGTAAACATATACTATCCATATTTTGTGCTTAATAAAAATTTCCTCTGTATAATTCTCTTCACCCACTGAAGAATGTAAAGGCCCCAAATTCAGTCCCTTTGTTCTCAATATTTCCCTTTTTATATTCCCCCCTATTTTTTATTTTTGTTCTAAAAGTACATTACTTCTGTCCTCTATCAGCCCCACAGGATGCCTTCTATCTTTCTGCATTCTTTTGCTATTTGTATTACAAGCATACATAATACATAATAACGTATGCTTTCTCCTAACTTGAAGGATATTGTTGAGTCCTTGTGGACTGTGGAATCTGTCCCTCCCTCCTCCCCCCCACCTTTAACTTTGAATATTCACATTCCATGGATTCCACTAATTTTGAGCTCAATGGACTTTACTTGCTCTTTCCTGTGTTCTTTCTCCTTTTGAGACTTGGGTTTCACCTATAGAAGACCTATTATTCTCCTTTTCTTTGTATTTTGCCTAAAATAATTAGCATAAGCCTGCTAAGTACAATTATTGCCAAGTGGTATCAGCACTATCTCTTGGTGGATTTGACTCTAAAATAAGTCAACTAGCATTTATTAAGCACCTACCATATGCCAGACATTGTATTAAGCACTAGGGACATAAAAGAAGGTTAAAAATAGTCCCTATCCTCAAGGAGTTCAGAATGTAATGAGGGAAACAATTTGAAAAATAACTATATACAACTATATACAAAAAACAAACAAAAAAGATACATACCAGATAAATTGGAGCTAATTTCATAGGAAAGGCACTAACTTTGAGGTCCAAGAAAGGCTTCTTACAGAAAAGATTTTAGCTATGGAGATGAGGAGGGAGAACATTCTGGGTACGGAGGATAGCCAGAGCAGGGAGATGGAGTGTCTTGTACAAGGAATAGCAAGGATCACAATGTCAGTAGGTAGTGGAGAACATGGAAAACACAAATATAAGAAGATTAGAATGGTAGGAAGGGACAAGGATTAGTTTATGAAGGGTTGATTTTTAAAGCTAAACAGTGGATTTTAAATTTAATTCTAGAGTGATCCATTGGAGTTTATTGAATGAGAGTGATGGTGTCCATGACATGGTCAGACCTTCACTGCAATCAGATCACTGATAGGTGAGTAGAAGATGAACTAGAGTAGGGAGAGACTTAAATCAGGGAGGCCAAATAATAGACTATTGAAATAATCTAGGCATGAGGTAATGACAATTCCCCTCCAAGTACAAGGGTGGTGTCAGTGTTGCAGCAAAGAAATGTTTCCCTTTGTCTATTTTTGGGTAAATTTTTAGTCCAGTTTCATTGAGGATACAGGGAGAATCTCATCTACTGACAGATTCACATGACTGGAGAGCAAATAAAGTGAGTAGTCAAATTGAAAAAGAAATCTATTAGCACGCTAAAGAAAACTACTTGGGTTGGTTGCAGCTTCAATCTACCATGGTTCAAATCTGGCTTGTATAGCTTTTTCAAACCTCCATAGCCAATATGTATCACTTGAATGAACCAATGGAATTCAGTTTGTCTCTATAGGAAAGCATATCTGGAAAGTCCCTAGTTGTGTGTTAGGTACACCATTTGTGGGTTCGTGCACAGCTAAAAAATGCTGTGTACAGCAGGTTTTTATGTATTCAGGCTAAGCAGGATGGAGGTAGTTGAGACAGGTTTTATTATTCCGTTTACAGCAGAAAAGGAGGCAATTCAATAAGGTTGTGTTATTGAAAGTGCACCAGAATGAGGCATAATTTAAATAGCACATTGAGATAACAAGGTTATTCTTTTCTTCCACACCAACAGAAACATGAAGACGGCTTTCTCTCTCATTTAATGTGAGGCCTCACACTGAAGATTTACATATTGAAAGAAGACAACAAAAATCAAATATTTTATTTCAAGTTTATTTCATCAGCGTGAAAACAATAAATTTCTAAATTTCTAAATAAATACATTTCTAAATAGTTCATATTCATTTTCTTGACTTTATATAAAATATAATTTTTTTCTTGGTCAAAGAAATTCCCAATGAAAAAATTAATTTAAATTGACACCTGCTCTTCAACACAGAGAGTTGTCTGAGGCATTGAGAGGCTAAATTAATTGCTAGGTGTCATACAGTCAGCAGGTTTCAAAGGCCAGACTTGAACCTAGGTATTATTTGTGATTACTAGGCCAGGTCAGTTCAATATCCACTGTCATCCATTGTTGTTGTTGTCCAGTCATTTTAGGTTGTGTTTGACTCTTTGTCACCCTATGTGGAGTTTTCTTACCAAAGATACTGGAGTGGTTTGCCATTTCCTTCTCCAGCTCATTTTACTGATGAGAAACTGAGGCAAACAGAATTGAGTAATTTGTTCAGGGTGACACAGCTAATAAGTCTGAGGCTGCATTTGAACTCAGGTCTTCCTGACTCCAGGCCTGGTGCTCTGTCCACTGTACCACCTAGCTGTCGAGTGTCACCCATAGAGCCTTTCAATTTTCTTGTTCCCTCCATAATAACTAAAACATCTTCTGTGTTACCACAATTTACTTTAAAAAACATTTCTAAAGGAGATAAAGAGTGATAACAGTTTAGATCTTTAAGTATTCTTAACTAACACATCTTTTTGAACTTCATTAAAATTCATTTTGGAGAGATACCCCACAAGATTAAAAATACATATTTATGGAGTACCCACTTGACCATGTATATGGTTTTAGACGTCTAGGAATTCACTGAATAAGCCATTTTATTAGTCACATGCATGCATGCCTGCATACAAAGATAATACAGTTTGTATTGTAGGAGTTCTTACTCATTTTTTTATCATGAACCACTTTGTCAATTTGGCAAAATCTATGAATCCTGTCTGATGCTTTGGTGAAGGCAAAGTAGGCCATCTTTTACTTCAATTCTTACTTAGCCTTTAACTACTGAATGGGTGTTGCCTCAGACAAACTGAGACCTGGGAAAGACCTTAGCTTAAAAAAAGCCAGTCTCTTACTGCAACTTGGGCCATCACCAGTCGTCCTGACTTGCCACTGGACTCTAGTGACTCTGGAGGAGTGAGGCTGATGACTTTGCACAGCCCTGCCTCACTTAAATTCACTTCACTTGCAAGTCAAGATATTACCCTCCTGCTGTCATTGGTCCTTTTCCAGAACAAAGGATGAAGAATAACATGAATCCCTTCTCAAAATAATATTTTTAAGTATATAAAATAATTACACATGGGATTACAAAGGAAACCAGTATATTGAAGTGCAGTTATCAGGATATTTGTTTTTAAAAGTTCACAGACCCCAGGTTAAAAATCTCTGCTTATATTTTGAGCAGTTTAATATTAACTTGCTTTGTTTCTTTTTTTTCCCTCCTATGGTTTGTAGAGGTATTTATTCTCATTCCTATGAAGCACATCTGGCAGATACCTTGTAAAATTTGTCTTTATCTTTATAAATTTTATTTGAAATATTATTTTTAGGAAATGACTATATCAAGGACAGTGATGATGAAAAAAATACTGGATAAGTACTATATAACTTGGAATCACTCTACATTTTAAGAAATAATACAAAATAAGAAGGGTGAAATATTATGAGTGTATTATGGTACATAAAGGAAAAAATATATCCAGAGCTTGGGAGTTGGTAGTCCTGGGATTCTAGTCTTGAGCAGAGAGCCAATTAGCTGTGTGACTTTCAACAAATTATTAAGTTTTGAGGCCCTCCTCTTCTTCATCTGCAAAATGAGGAGGATAAAATAAATTGTTTCACTGGTTCATGCCAGTGGTAACAGTCTATGATTCTATAACGGCCTTTTAATTTCTTTTAAAATGTCCAGTGCTGAGAACATGCCAAAATATAGCAGCATTTCCCCTGATTTCTGTTCTCCTCTCTCTCTCTTCCCTAGACTATGCCAGAGAGCCATGATGACCCTGCACAGTAACAGTACAACCTCTTCCTCATTTGTTAACATCAGTTCTTCCTGGAACCAAGGCACCTCAGGCCCAGGTCTTCCCCCTCGCTATGGCAGCTACAACGTCTCTCAAGCCTCTGAGACTTTTTCCAACAATGCTACAAACAATGACCCTCTTGGTGGTCACACCATCTGGCAAGTGGTCTTCATCGCCTTGCTGACTGGCATCCTAGCCTTGGTGACCATCATTGGTAACATCCTAGTGATCGTGGCATTTAAAGTTAACAAGCAGCTAAAGACGGTCAACAACTACTTCCTCTTGAGCCTGGCTTGTGCTGATCTGATCATTGGTGTTATTTCAATGAACCTTTTTACCACGTACATCATCATGAACCGATGGGCTTTGGGGAACTTAGCTTGTGACCTCTGGCTCTCTATTGACTATGTGGCCAGCAATGCTTCGGTCATGAACCTTTTGGTCATCAGCTTTGATCGGTACTTTTCCATCACCAGGCCACTCACATACCGAGCTAAACGAACAACCAAAAGGGCTGGTATGATGATTGGCCTTGCTTGGATCATCTCCTTTATCCTTTGGGCTCCTGCCATATTGTTCTGGCAGTACTTTGTTGGGAAAAGAACTGTTCCCCCAGGGGAGTGTTTCATCCAGTTCCTCACTGAACCTACCATTACCTTTGGCACTGCCATAGCTGCCTTTTATATGCCTGTGACTATTATGACTATTTTATACTGGAGGATCTACAAGGAGACTGAGAAACGTACCAAAGAGCTTGCAGGACTACAGGCCTCAGGAAGCGATGCAGAGGCTGCCCACTTTGTTAATCCAACGGGCAGCTCTAGGAGCTGCAGTAGCTATGAGCTCCAACAGCAAACCCTAAAACGCTCAACCAGGAAGAAGTATGGCCGCTGCCATTTCTGGTTCACAACAAAGAGCTGGAAACCCAATGCTGAACAGATGGATCAAGAGCACAGTAGCAGCGACAGCTGGAATAACAATGATGCTGCTGCCTCTCTTGAAAACTCTGCCTCATCTGATGAGGAAGACATTGGCTCGGAGACAAGAGCCATTTACTCCATTGTGCTGAAGCTCCCGGGTCACAGCACTATCCTGAACTCCACCAAATTACCCTCATCAGAGGACCTGCAAGGATCAGAGGAGGAGCTGCAAAAAACCGACTTGGAGAAGAAAGCTAACAAGCTACAAGCTCAGAAGAGCATGGAGGATGGAGGCAGCTTTAGGAAGAGCTTTGCCAAGCTTCCCATTCAATTGGAGTCAGCTGTGGAGACTGCCAAGACACCAGAGGCCATTTCTTCTGTTGCTAAGACAACAGCAGCTCTGCCTCTTTCCTTCAAGGAGGCCACACTGGCCAAAAGATTTGCCCTAAAGACCAGAAGTCAGATCACTAAACGGAAAAGGATGTCGCTCATCAAGGAGAAGAAAGCAGCACAGACCCTCAGTGCAATTTTACTTGCCTTTATCATCACCTGGACTCCGTATAACATCATGGTCCTGGTGAACACCTTTTGTGAGAGCTGCATCCCTAAAACCTATTGGAACCTGGGGTACTGGCTCTGTTACATCAACAGCACAGTGAACCCCATGTGCTATGCACTGTGTAACAAAACGTTCAGAACCACATTCAAGATGCTGCTGCTGTGCCAGTGTGATAAAAGAAAGAGGCGCAAACAGCAGTATCAGCAAAGGCAGTCAGTTATTTTTCACAAGAGGGTACCACAGGAGGCTTCATAAAATGAAAAATTTTTAAAACAACAGCAGCGACCAAACACACATGCACTTCAACCCCATACACCTTGAGAAAGGGAAAGGGGAGGATTTTTTTTTCTGGTATTGATATTAGACATTTCAACGTCCAGATGTGAAAGCCGCTGCCTGGCTGATGTATCCTTTTAATAAACCTATTTTAATATAAAAAGTCAAATGCACATTAAGCAAAAGAAAAAAAATATACTACTGGATGGTAAAACATTAACTCGGAAGTTGTTCCTTTACCACTTTAAATGGTTTTCCTAAAAAGGGAGGAAAGCAAAGTTGTACAGTAGTTATAAACCCATTATTGACCTGCCCAGGTCCATTGAGTCATATCAGCTCTGGGAACTCAGGTAAGCACATCAAGCTGGCCTAATTTCCAACTTCTTTCCAAGGATCCTGCAAGTATTGATCTAGCCTCTTGGACAGAGGAGGCCAGCAAGAAGGTGGTTGTGAAAAGTTTTAACATGTTACGAGGCGGCATCTTGTTGTCCCAATAGAGCTTCCTGTCTTCTCTTTGGTGTATCGTTGTTAAACCCTACCTACCTGTGGACTTGATCCTCCATCCTTACGGAGTACTGTTTTGTGCAGCTAAAGTTTCATGTATATGAAAATAAATACGTATATATGTGTGGGTACAGAGCGCACACACACATGTATATAATATACTGGGAAACAACAAAACTGGCAAATTATTCCTGCAATACATGATTTCAGTATTTCGGCAACTAAAGTTCTCTGGAAACCTAACACAACACAAATGTACAACGTGATCCAGATGAAAGAAGTATCACTTAATGCTTTTAAATCAAGAGTGTTTTTAGGGGCCATTCAGAGAACAGCAGAATCCTATCCAAAGTACACCCAGATGAGGCCGGCATTGTACGGCTGTGCCTATTAGATGCCCTCATGTTCAGTCTGAGCAGCTAAGCAACATCAGCAGATCTGTGGAGATTGGTGGTCTCAAGACCATCTGAGTCCAGATCAGCCAGGAAAATCAACCTCTTCTGGGCTCTAGCACCCTACACTGAGGACTGGGTAGCCAGCTGCATTGGTTTAAAGCTTTCTGTACCTGTGCTAAGGCCCAGGCCCCTTGGATCTCAAAAAATGAATTGCAACACAGTGTTTTTGAGTTCTCCACAGTCTCAGATCTGAGCTTGCGGCTAAACAAAATTTCTGTGATATGCTTGAAACTCGACATTAGTGACGTGGCTGTCTGGGTCTCATCAATTGCAATATTTCTGGTAATAATAAAAGGAAAAGTTTTTTTTTTAAAAAAAGAAGAGGAAAAAGTATGAAAAAATGAAATTGTTTTGGTTTTGTTACCTGGCATTTTCTGATGAAAATTTATTAAATAAATTAAAGGGCTTAAATCTGTGTCACTTAGACATTGCCAGTGTTTCCTGGGCTTGAGCATGTGATCAGCACCCAAATAATGGGTGGGCTCTATAAAAGTTATGTGTCCTCTGAGAAAAGGACTATATTTTGAAAAGTATTGCTTCTAATCTGATTTATTTACATTTTGAGAAATAATTTTGTATTTTCCTTTGACCAAAATTATATAAGTTTTGTTTTGGGGTGGTTTTTTGTTTGTTTGTTAATTGTTGTTCAATTTTCTTCCTTCCTTTCTTTCTCTTTCTTTCTTTTTCTCTTTCTTTTGTTTTATTTCTTCCTTTCTTCTCTTTCCTCTCTCTCTCTCTCTCTCTCTCTCTCTCTCTCTCTCTCTCCCCCCTCTCCCCCCCTCCCTCTCTCTCTCTCTCTCTTTCTCTCTCTCCCCTCTATCCTATTTTTGGCTGGGGGTGGGGGAGGGTACTCTGGGTGGGGGGAGGGGGGAGGAAAACCTTACCTTTGTTTGGGGCATCAGTGTTGTGAACACAGAGCTGGTATAAAAGCTGCTTTTGTATTCAGTGTGAGATGGTGTTTACAGATGATTTTGACCACAGTGGAAGTATATTAAATGGTGTCTGTGTATTTGAGCTATTTAATTTGTGTTATGTTTATATGAAGAAATATTTATACATACTTCACCAAATGTTTATTTAATGTTGATAAATATTACTCTTCAATCTTCAGCTGTGGTGTCCTTTTAAAGTGATTCCTAAAGGTCCACTTTAACAATGGATACAGTATATCTAGCTTTCATGTTGCTAAGAAAAAAGTCATCCTGTTGGCATCAGTGAATATTTAACTCTTTGTGTGTTAATTAAAAAAAAACAGTAATTTTAACATAAGGCGCTTAAGCCACGATTTTGTTGAACCTGATGAGAACAGAACAAGAGAAAACAATATAATTGATAGTTATTTTGTTGACCTTGTTCAACCAAAGAATAAGGAAAATACGAAGTTTTCTAAGTTGAATAGAAAATGACAGATCTCTATACTCTGAAACTAAATGGCAACCAATTCTCATCCCAATTCTAACACAGACTGGTTGACCTTGACAAGTCAATTACCAGTGGTGGCCTTCATTTTCCGCATCTGCAAAATGAGGGTGTTAGAGTAGATTATCTCTAAGATCCCTTGCTGCACTAAAAGTCTGTGATTTATGGTTCAGTTGAAACTTTTAAAAAAAAATTTTTACTCAAGTTGAACTGGCAAAAAATGTTTAAAATATTAATGTCTCCCATTACAACAAGTGATTGCTACCCAACATTTTTAGGAATTGTAATACCCTTTCCTTATTCTGGTTTACCACACCACTCTCTTCCTAAAACTGTTTCTTGGTATGCTTTAGTTATTTATTTATTTATTTTAGATTAGAGAAAATTAAACTTACTTTGAGAATTGGAGACACTCTGAGTATTGCAAAACCAGGGTTGGTAATCACTATTCTCTGTAGAGAGAATTGTCTCTTGATTCATGCCTTTATATGATCCTGATAAGCTTAGAGGAAAGAAAAAAAAATGAAACCACAGAGATTCTAGCCCTCCTCCATTATTATTCATTTTTACTACAATCTTTTTTAAAAGCTACCAATTCTTAAAAGCTGCTTTTCAAAATTACCTGTTAACTTTGTTTACAGGATAGGGGCAGCAAACCTTGGATCGTTTTCAGAGAAGAAAAAACACCAACAACAAAAAAATGAGATTTTAGTGTAAAAAAAGGTTTGAAAATATAATATAAGATATAGTGAGTGTTTACAAAAGTCACTTCATAATATACATTCGCGTCATAATAGGTTCACAAGTAAGATATTCAGTATATCCGTTACAAATGTCCTTTTGCTCAAATTGGGAATTAAATGATTTTATTATGTGCAAGTCAGGTACATATAGTATGTTCTGTAATCAATTATCTATTCTATTGGAAAAGAGCAGAAAAAACAAGCAGATAAATTACATATTATCACATACTGTCTCATCCTATCGTATGATATCTAACTCTTATCACAGACTGTCTCACACTTGTCATATCCACATACACTCATGCCCATACATTCTGCTTTCTGCTTTTCTTCCATGATTTCTCCTTTGGTCACTATTTAGGTTTCCCTCCTTTCCTTCATCTTTCCCTTTGCTCATCAAATCTAGTCTAGTTGTCTTCCTTCCCTAGATATGTTTTAGTTCTATCCACCCCATCTCCTGGTAGTTCTAGAGTCTGGCAAAATATGAACTAACAAAAACACCCATAAATGCTAAGAAGCTGCCTGCCTCTAATTCAAAGGGGTACGAGACATAATTAGATTCCTTTGTTAACTCTTTCAGTGCTTCCAGATGGGCTAGTCTCAGTTAGTTGGGGGCAAGGGAAACATATCCAGGGAGAAGCTTCTTTACTTTTAATTAAGCATTATTATGGGCATGTTCAGTACTTCATTTAAAATATTTATTTGGTACTGATAATATGCATAGCTCTGTGCTGTGCTGCTAAAGAAATCAGGAGTAATTTAGACAACAAAGAAATTAAGATTAAAAAAGCTGTGTTCATTAATCTAATGAACCTTTCAAGAATAGTGTTTGGCTAGGCAGTAAAGAATACATACTAATAGGGAAGGCAAATCCATAATCATTTATAACACAGAAAATCCCAAAGCCATACTGTTTACAGTAACTTCAGCCTCCTTTTCTACCAAACCCTTTAGCAGAGCTGCCAACCAGGTACAAATCTATCAGTTTGAGATCCCCATTTCTTCCTGTTAAAGCTAAGTTCTAATATTTTCTTACTTCATTTTCTTATGTGAAGTAAGAGAAGTGGTAGGCCCTATTAGGCTACAAACTGAATTGATAAATGTACCTGGAAAATATAGTTTCATATATGTATGTTAGAATTGTTGGCTTGGCTCAAATCATCATTGCATATAATTTTGGTTGGCTTACAAAATTAAGGAAGATTCCAACTTTAGCCTGTGATTGAAACACTGAAGGGAAAGCTCTCATAATCATCACACCGTAACATATAATGCTAGTTCCAGACTACTAAATAGGTTTGTAAAATAAACAATAAAAAACAACTTCGTGGAAACCTGTTTTTGCCTGTTCTTAGAGACATATGGTGCCAACATTTTTTAGTAGTATCATCTTTTTTTTTTCTTACACATTAAAAGCTTCACTAAGTTTGGGGCAGGCTTGAAGGGAATCTTACGGAAATTATAAATAAAAATGTGCACTTTAGTTGTCACACAAATTACAAATGGGCTTCCAAGATGGGGGAAACCAGAGCATTATTTCATTGGGCAGGAAGCTTGGATAGATAAACAAATGTAAAGACAATTAGGATGTTTGCATCCTTCTCTACAGGGGTGTACAAATATGAATTAACCACTGTCCATATGAGTTGAGTGTATTATTTGCTTTGTAAGCAAAGAACATGTATCATAGCTGTATTTAAAATATCGTCCGAGCCTTAGAGAAAGGTGCCAAATTTTATCTTTTTACTACTTACTGACCAGGCATTTCTTCCAGAGACATGTGGGGGGTTTCAAATATCATTTTCATCTTTTTTTTTTCTCCTGAAAATGAGTCAATGGTCTGTATGATAAAATTATGCCTGCAATTTTGTGGTAAATATTACTTCCTTGACTAAGTTTAACAGCATAAATAGCTAAATAAATAAAATCCACTACTAAATAAAGATTGTGTCCTTTCATTTTCATGCAAGATCTAATACATAACTGTAAGCTTTTCTTTTTATATGTAGGCAGATTGCATTGCAGATTTGAATGAGAATGGAAATAAATCTGAAAGAATGATAATGAAAACATATTCTGAAATATGGTACCAAATCCATTGAATTGTGTCTTGTTTCTACAGAAAATATGATTTTCTCCAACATTTGGAAGGACTGAACTTATCATGTTTATTCATTAAGTATGGGTGTTGTAGAAACAGTTAAACCATATGTAAGCCACTATATATCTGAGTGTGGCTATATAAGCATATGGATATGGTTCTTGTCCACTAAGAGTGTATGTAAAACAAATCCAGTAAAGTCTAGACACCAATATTCTAGTGAAGAAAGATAGCATACATAGTTCAAAGAGCACTGACCTTAAAGTCATAGGACTTAATTTAAATTCCACCTCTGATACTGTATATGTTACCTTGTGTGAATCACTTAAATTCTCTTGGTCCCAGTTTGCTTATAGGTAAACTGAGGGACTTTGGCTAGAAGTCCTCCTAGATCTCCAGTCTCTGATTTCATTGTTGTGGGTATTCAGGAATGAAGATCGTAATCCACTCAGATCTACTCATCTTGTGCAACTCTAATCCATATCCTTTCATAAATTTGCCATAGGGGGTATTCCCTAAATGATTGAGACTTAGGCCCTCTTTACATTGTATGGATGGATACCAGTAGAGCAGAGGCTGTTTGTACTTTGTGCTTGCTATATAACCAATCCATCATTTTTCTGGTCATAAATTTCTCTGATGGCACATTTCACCCTGCTTCTCCATAGAATTCCCATTTGCTGTGTGCTACAGCCTTTCCACACTTTCCATGGGCCTCTCCACTTCCCTTTGGTTGATGCCTAACTTTAGTGAGGTCACAAAATATCAGCTGAAAGAATATTGTTGTTAAAAAGATTGATCTTTGTTCCACAGTGAAGCTTTTATGGTTTACAAGAATTGTGCACTTTCCAAAGGGCAATTCAGCCCCTTCTCCCATTTGATTCTGGACCCACTAATTGTACATTTATAAAGACGTACATGCTTTTAAAAAGGTGGGGGTATATATATGCTTTTTTAAGGAATGAAGAAACAATTTTTAAAAGGTACTATTTTCTATTTTCTGGTATATCCGTAAGAAAATATTTTCCTATCAAAGAAGAACTTGTTTCATAGTAC